CACCCACACCCCACACCCACCAACACCCACGCCCACCCACACCCACACCCACACCCACATCCACACCCACACCCACACCCCACACACCCACACCCACACCCACACCCTCCGTCGAAACATAACAAAAAAAAAAGAAAACAAAGTGTTAGTGAAATTTCATGATGCAGACACATAAATAATTCTAAAAGAATATCTCAGTTTGTATACTCTCTTAACAGCTGATATGTTTAATAAGTTAGTTTAACAAAAAGAACATTGATATGATCTAACTAAGACCAGTCTCCTTAGTTTATAGTAATGATTTCTCCATTTTTAGCTATATAATGTATCATTTATCTTTCTTTGCTATGAAACAATTTTCAAGATATATATATGCTATTCACCGAAAAGGCAATATGAAAAACAATTTTTAGTCACGGAAAGTACGACAAAGGTGAGGACAACATGAACTGATCTCGTCATATTTAATGATTCTATATAAGAACTAAATTGCTCGCAACGACCTGCAGTATTTTCGAGTCTTTTTATTAAATACTTTTCGACGAAAAGACATATAACTATTTAACTGAAATAATTCTTTTTAGGATATTGTATCTCACACATTGAAGAAAACTTGTTTTTATTTGGACGAATTTCAATTATTTAAATTTTGAAATGTCATTACCTTTAAAAAATTTGGAACCATTTACTCTTATTTGGCTTGATCCTGAAATAAGATTACCCTCAACATCGTCAACTTTTACAAATGCACGAAAGAAATTACGTGAAACAATTAATTTTTTAATAGATTTTTCTAACGCTGATAAATGTATTGATTATATTAAAGATGAAGATGCCAAAAATATTATACTTATAATAGCAGGTCGTTTAGCTAGACGTATTATACCTTCAATACACAATTTTCAACAACTAATCGCTATTTACATTACATGTAGACCAGAAAATGTAATGAGAAATCAAGAAGTCGCCAAACAATATCATAAAGTAAGCATATTGAAAGTGTGATTTGGATCTCTGTCAACGAGGTCTGTAGAATCGAATTTCTTCTGCTTCCAGTGATTTTTGTTTGTTTTGTGGGTGTAATCGGTCTATCCATTTTCATGAAGTGTCATTTTGAGTAAAAATATTATAAAATAAGATGAATTGCGATTGTATATATCAAGTCAAATTACTTCAGTGATATTTCTTATTCTTAAGAGTTATTATAAAATGGTATCTTCCTATGGTAGTGAATACTGTTAAACAAGAAAGATCATTTGGATATATTAAAATGTAGAAAAATAAAAGATAGTAACATTTATTAAAACATTTAAATTCTAGGTTAAATCTGTCAGTAGTTCTATTGACCAATTAATTGAAGTCCCTAGAGAAAGTACTGAGTTCAGGGTACCCATGTACTGAGAAAGCCTCAGCAGGGTACTCGATATGGGTACATTGAAAATTTTCAGTAATTATACTGACGTAGGTGCTGCATTGGGTACCCATTACAGTATGTTTACTGAACAAGTACTTGCATGAGTACCCGCACCTGTAATTTTACTAGGAAAAGCTCTACAGGGTACCCTAGATTTGTTGCGTTCTGTGTAGCAACTGTTCATTCACCGTTTTCTTTTGCATATACGGCTTCATATAAGCAACTCGAGGAAGCATAAGAAAAAAATATTTTTTCATACTAATTTTTTCTAGATTATTTTTCTTGACTATTTATTAGTTGAGGACATTGCTGATCTCAATCGTAGATTGAGAGAGGACTACCTTGAAGTGGTCTGATGGAGATCCGACCAATTCGTGTCCAGTCAGATCTCGAAATTTGACCTGCTTAGCTTTTCAGAATTAGAAAAATAAAATAAAATAAAATCGAGAAAATATCATAAATTGCTTTGAGAGAAACAAAAATGAAAAAAAGCCAGAGGTTAGTTTCGATCATCAACATACTGCAAGTATGACAACAGGGTACCCAAAATTACTGAACAATAGTACCCAGTTGGGTACTTGATCAGTACCTTCAAGTACCCATTTACTGGATGCTTTCCAGCAGGGTACTTGGTCGAGTACCTTATGGGTACCTAAAAGTACTTTAAGGTACTTCAGTACCCGAAAGTTCCTGTGACATACTAGTAGCAGGGTACTTTTTCGGGTACCCTTAGCTCAGTACATTCACTAGGGGTAATCGTCAGAGATCAAATCGATCGAGAAAAAAATGAAAATGGTTTATTACTATCTCTATTTAATTCAGAAGAACTACTCTACGGGATGTCATGCAAATGCCTTGAATATGAAAGTGAATTGATTATTTGGACACAAACATTTCTGCAATTTATAATTGGAACTGAGAGACAAGCAGGTGAAACCGACATTACAGAACTTATCAAATTACTTAAAGAACGGTACATTGATAATGAATATCGTTTGAATGCCATTCAGGAATTCCAGCGTACTTACGACTCTTCTTCAGCACTAAAATGGATTACCAACGATACATTTATTTTCCGACTATTGAATCGAGCTCTAAAACAACGAGATGTTTCTACTTTGTTGCGATTTGTTTTTTTTATTCGCGATTTGTATAATGGTCTAATTAAAGCTCATGAATGTTCATCAGAGTCAATCGTGCGTGTTTATCATGGTCAGACATTGTCTTCGAGTAATTTGGAAAGGCTACGTAGGAAAGAAGGATCATTTTTCATGACTCATACATTTTTTTGGTCAAGTCAAAACCGTGAGAAGAGTATTTCATTAGCGAACTCAAATGATTCACAAATACAATCAGTTCTGTTTGAAATTGAAATATCAAAACGTACTACAGTTTCAAAAGCATTCGTCACTTTTACCAATTTAGATAATTTAGAAGAAAATACAGAGACTTTATTCATGTTTGGTACTATATTTTATTTGTCAAGTGTTTCATACGTTGAGGAAGATAAATTGTGGATGATCAAATTAATATTGTGCGATGATCGAAATGATGATATTAAAGCAGTATTGAAAGAAGTAGCAGGCCATTTGCAAGAGAATATTGAACGTCTTGGTTTCAACGGTGATCGGTATAATGAAACCTCTTATAACAACGTATATCAAGCAAATCAATCGTTGACAAATGTAACTGATGTTGATCTACCAGAAATTCCACTTCCATCTTTGTACTCATCAAAGCGTCAAGGACCTATTACAATATTAGAAAGTTTTCCATTAACGACAAAGGATGAAAACATGTTACACATAACCCCTTCCATCGACACTATTGCATCGATGGATGCTGCATTCGAACTTTCCTTGGACACACCCCAAAATCGTGTACGATGGAGAATTTATATTCTTTGGTGTCAAACTGATATACGTAATAATGCTCAAAGTTATTGGAAGTTTCGAATTCAGCTAGAGAAACTTCATTTGAATGTACGATATTTTGATACGATAGACGAAACTGTTCAAGAAATTAGTAGATCTAAGAATGAATTATACTTTTTAATTACCTCAGATGGATTAGCTGACTTTTTGATCTCACAAGTTCATGATCATCCTCGTGTATTCTATTTATATATTTTATCAGAATTTACAGTAGACAAGAACACATCAAACTTATTATCAAACTATGAAAAAATTCGAATAATAACTGACAATCAACAAACAATATATAATCAAATTGCTTCTGACTTGAACAATACCGTTGAAAGTCTTCTGCAGCATTCTAACGAAATCGATGATGACAGTAGTTTTAATCAAATCAGTTTCAATGTTGATGAAGATTTTACACCAATAGCAATTATTGACAGCGACTATCGACCAGGAAATTTATTTCGTGATGTATCTTATGATGAATCTGTTTTTATGGGGTTTCAATTACTTATCAAGATAATCTATTGTTTAGAGTTGACAGATGAAGATAAACATGATATGATTCAATATTGTCGTAGTAAATGTGATAACAACAAAAGTGAGTGAAGTATTAAACTAATAAATAGAGTTTCAATAGAACTTCTCATTTTAGCTCAGCAAAAACAGATCGAGGACTTTAATAAGAAATATACGTTGGATCAAAGTATAAATTGGTATACAAAAGATTGTTTTGTCTATCGTTTTCTGAACGAAGCCTTTCGTAGTGAAGATATTTTCAATATCTATCATTTTCGATATTTCATTTTCAATCTTCAAAAACATCTATCAATACTAAGTAGACAACAATATCCGCTTAACAGTCAAGTAAATTTAATTGTTTATCATGGTAAACCAATGCCAAATTTTCAATTGAGAAGACTAAATAAGAATAAAAATTTTCTTATATCAATGAATACATTTTTATCTGCGACAAAAAATCTAAAAGTAGCTGAAATGTTTTGTGGAGATGCATCACGACGAGCGCTTGGTATAGAGCCAGTCATATTTGAAATTACAATTAACACAATAGTCAACGACGAGACAATCATTTTTGCCAATATTGCTTCGAAGAGCAATATGGAGGAAGAAGAAGAAATTCTATTCTCACCAGGTACAGTATATCATATTCAGTCAGTTGATCAACTTGATGATGCAAACAAAACATGGTATATTAAACTGATATTAACATCTGAAACTGATTTGAAACAACTTCATGCTTATTATAATAAGGAGATCGAGATAGGATTCAATATTGACATAAACAAACGAACAGGACCGATCTTTATAGCAAAACATTTACTCAGAATGAACGAAAATGAAAAAGCGGAACGTTTTCTACAAATTTTATTGAAAAAATATCCAGCAAGAACTCCTGAATTAGCTATGGCATATATGAACTTCGGAAACCTATATAATCGTCGTCGAGAACATAATAAAGCAATCGATTCTTTCGAAAAAGCAATGAATTCTTTGGATACCACTGATTCACCCTTAAAAGCGGCTATACTGCACAATATAGGGTCAACCTATACAGGACTCCAAGACTTTCATACTGCACTCAAGTATTTACAACGTGCCGTTAAAATTGAAGAGCAAATGTTGTCAAAATGCGATCCCAAACTGGCGATGACATATCATAACATTGGATTCTGTTATACGGATATGGGTAAATACAATGATGCATTTGAATTATATAAGAAAGCACTAAACATAATTGAAAAAATGAGACCAATGTATCATCCAGATAGAGCACTGATCTATATGCGACTAGCGGCACTTTATAAAAATACGGAAGATTATGAGGTAGCACTAGACTTTTATGAAAAAGTGAAGACTATATATTTAAAAATAAAAGCTAGTAAACTAGATATGGCGATTTTATTAAATAATATTGGAACGGTATTCGTGTGTGAAAAACATCCGGATAGAGCAATCGAATATTTTAAACGTGCTATGGAACTACGTTCATCTGTCATACATCTAGATAATCCTGAAAATAGTAATACCTATCACAACATCGCAGTTGCCTACTATCAAACCAATCAACTAGAATTAGCGGCTGAAAACTATGAGAAGTATTTGGAGAGCACTGACAAGTATCTACCGTACAAGCATAGGTGGAAAGTTAAAGCAAATAATGCTCTTGCCGAAGTTTACGGAAAGTTAAATGATAACATTCGAAGTAGAATCAATAGTGCGATCGCTTTGTTAAGAAAACCAAATGAAAATTTCAATACAAAATTAGATATGCACTCAGTATTGGTCGATCTGTTATCCACTGCTACTGCGCCTTACACAAAGTATCACATTAAACAACTGTTGAATCTGTCTCGTGAAGATGGGCTAACTCCAGAGCATACCATTGTACAAACGTATAGGATGCTTCTAAACAGTCAACAAGACTCCTAATCAAAAAATCTATTTGTCATTGTCAATTACAGACTTCAAAACGTAATTGAATATTCAATCAAACATAACAACGGCAAATCACCATAGAAACGTGTTTTCTGACTTGATTTTATTTAAAACTATGCTTACGATGAACAAATTCTGTTTCTTAGAAAGAAAACCTACATTTTATTGCTCTTCATTTCAATAAATTTTCACATAAAGATATTCATATTCTTTATTTTTCTCTCTCCTTTACTGTCAATACACATTGATCACAACCAAGAGAAACCTAGAGATATAAACGAGAAAGTAAATAAAGATCTATAATCATATTTAACCCTAATTGTTAATGTTACATACAGAGATCTTTATGAATTAGATTCCATTATCAATGAATCAAATTGCTATGACATTCTTTACAGATATCGAAAAAATCTTTGCCATGAAATGAAGTTTAACAAGTTCTGTGACTAAAAGTATTTATCTGCAAAATGTCCTTTTAGTTTTCATTTATTACGGAAGTATGAGGGTGTGGGACTTTGTTTAGTGAACATCCACACTCAACCCAGAACGACGATTCCTGAGGCACTATTCCGTGTATTTCCAGCGAAAATCCTCAAAAAAAAATGAATCCGGTCATCGAATCCGTTCATTGGTATAATGTTTTCATGAAATCTCTGGGATATCATGCAATTGGCCGTTTCCGTCTTGGAAATCCACACCCACAAAAAGAACCTTCAATCATTTCTTCATTCTTTCTCATATTGATATGTTCCTTATCTTGCTTTTTCATCATTCTTTGTCATTGTGTTTACTGATGGATATGAGCAAACATTGTAATTAAAATGACGATATTTGCCATCTCGGATTTCTGTATTTCCGAGGAATGAAACAAAATAAAATCTCAACTTGTAGAAAAAGATTTTAAAAAAAAAACTTGCAATAATCGTTATTATTTTTGTTTATGGCTTTGATTTCGAATACTTCACGATTGAAATAAAAAGGAAAACTAAAATGTGATCAGTTTGTAGGACAGTGATTGAGTTTCCAAGATCAATATGTATGTAGAATGAATAAAAGATTGTGAAAAGAAGAAGACGAATACTCCGCCTTTCGGCTACCTTACAATGTAACACAATGTCTGAGAACAGTTTTGAGAGTCCGATATTTGTCGTACATTCATTACTTAATGTAGCTCTGAACAGGAGGCCAGTCTGACTTAGAGGTTTTTCATTTAATCATTTAACCTCCTTCTCCACCCTCAGAAATGATTTCTCACTTGGAACCCATCGTTTGGACGGAAATTTTCAGGGATGATTAGTCTTGGTGAGAAACGCTTATGGTAAAAATTGCAGTTTGTTTTTCTATCTCCCAGGAGAATCGAAATAAATCCGTCAATAGAAGGGATACAGAGCACGGACTGGTTTCAAGGGAGAAAAACAGATTTCAAGATTCATAAAGATTTCCAGAGATTTCAGGGGTTAAAATGTGCTTTTTTCCTTTTAAGGATTCGAGAAAAGAAACATAAACTGAATTTGAATATATACTGTAAGATAAACAAATAACCAAAAAGATGTGTTGCTTAAAATGTTACAATCGAGAGAAGTTACATAATATTTTAAACAAAAAACTTTACATAAGTATTCTTTAGACATCAGTATCAACTTGAATTCTATCAGATAAATCAAATAGAAGTCTATTTATTGATAGAAACTTCTCACAAAAATGACAAGGAGAATACCATTTCATCAAGAAACATTTACAATTTTCTTTAAATAATTTAGATAAAAATTTTCTTCTATTTTTCAAAGATTCATTTACATTTCTTATAATATGGTTCATACGAAAATTCTTTCACACGCATAGAATGTTAACATACCTTTATCAAAAAGTTTCGCGTTAAGAATTTCAAAATAACATACATACATGTTTAATAAAAAAAAGAAGTATAGGGTTCACTAATTTCTTTACTATTATTACTAAGATTTCTTTTATAGAATCAAATACTTGATCTATCTATAATTATATGTCTAAAAAGGAAGAGATACTTTTCAATGTAGCAGATTAACGTACTGCGAGAATAGCACAAATTTTTCTAATTAGTATCAATACAAAAGAAAAGTAACTGATATTATATCTATTTATTTATGTTTGTTGATTTTTTGCGAGAGATAAAACAAAATAAATGTCACAATGAAACTCTACATCTGACAAATATCCGATAAGAATATCAGTTATCATTAGAAAATCATAGAAAACGAATATTCGTCAGAATATATATCTATCCTTAACGAGTAAATACTCCAAGAGGTTATTCAGCATGTTTTCTTTTTCTTAATATATTGTCTCACTTTACACATATAATCTAAATAAAAACAAAATATACAATTCTCTAATCAGCTATAGTTTAACCCTTTCGGGACCAGTGACGTTTTAAAACGTCATTGAAATTTTACGTGATCTGACGGGTGAGAATTGGAATTTTTTTCACGTCTCTTCCAAGTAAACGTTGCGACTGCTTTTTTTTATACGTTCGTGTTATGACCTGTGTCTTCTTCAGATGCGATCATAAGGATTTTTTCTCATTATCTATATGATTCTATGAAGAGACTTACATTCATCTTCTTTTCTCTTAATGTCATTCATGCGTCACGAATTTTTCCTTTCCGTCATATGTGTAAATGTGATAGACTTTTCCTTTCCTGCTATATATGCATGTGCGATGGACTTCTCTGTTCTTTCTACTTCTTTTTCTTTCGACTGACTTTATGGATTTTCCCTTTCTTGATCGTCAGTTATGAAATCTTTTCATCGTATTGATTTTTTTCGCTTGTTATCATTTTATATATGGTCCTTAGATTGTTATGAAGAGAAAGATTTATACAGAAATGGATCTACATGGATTAAGACCTCACAGTTCATGCTTCCTGATGTTCACATTTTGATGAATATGGCAAAGATAAACCATTTTCGAAAAGTTGAAAATTTTGTAATTCTTGCTCAAAATAAGCCGGTCCTGAAAGGATTAATCAGTTTCCAATAAAAACTCAACATCGAATTTTTTCGGGTGTGGGGTGTGAGTGTGGGCTGTGGGTGTAGGTGTGGGTGTGGGCTGTGTGTGTGAGTGTGGGGTGGGTATGGGTGTTATCTCTTTCCACCCACACCCACACCCACAT